TTAGCTCCCCTGTTGTAAACACTAACTATGTATCCTCACCTGGATGCATGAATTAAAGGTGGTTCACAAAGCAGCTTATCATCAGAAGCACCTGGAAATGTGGGAAAAATGGATTCTTGGGACTAAACAATTGAATCTGAGTTTTTCGGTAAGTCTCAGGTAACCATATAAAAAGAAGGTTCACCAGATGTTTCTAACAATCATTTCAGCCTTAGAATTACTGAAACTACTTCATTGAGTGGTTAATGCCTGCTGCCCATGTTGGGTGCCATAATGGTGGGTCTGATTGCACAATCTTGAGTAGAACTTCAGACATACTTATTCCTGTAAACTGAAGCCATCACTCATGAAAGATTAGTTTGTTGCATTAATCTTTAATTCCTCCCTGTCTCCAAGACTTCAAAGACTTGGACATGGAGACATGGCAAGGAAGAAGAGAGAGAACAAAAAGAAGTAGAGGAATGAAAAACAGCAATAAAGAAGATGTTAACTGGTTGTAGAGAAACGTGAATACCAAGTTTATAGAATGCATTGTAAAGGTCAGATGAGAATTTAAATCAGATCTATGCAACAGGAAAACCTAAGGACAGATGTGTCTAATTTTGTATTGTGTTTTGACCCAGCTTAATTATATCTATTTGACCCAGTTCAATTATATTCTATCACTAACTTCAAAAAGAATGTTTAACACTCAAAGTAGAGGTGCCAAATTCATTAAAGTTGCTACTACATGCTATTCAGCCTTCCTCCTTCCCGCCACCTCTTCCTCCTTAACTCTTTACAATCCAGCCTCTATATTCAAAGCAACAAATTCAAAATCTGCTCCTCTAGTGGCCACTAGTGACTGGACAGCTCACTGCCTAATTCATCAGTCCCTTTTCAGACTTCATTCTTCTTGACAGCTTTGCAGCATTGAATCCATTTACATTCCCTCCTTCTTGATCACCTGTGCTCTCGTGACTGCCTGGATAGAGCCCACTTCACTCTGTTCCGTCATGGGATCAGCATCTGTTATTGAGGTTCATTCATGGGTTAAGTGCTGAGTCACAAAACTGAAGTGGGCCCGGACCCTGCCTCCAGGAATTTCAGTTTAGTAAGATGTCCTCCTGCTTCTACAGTCTGACCTCTCTCATAGATTCTCGGACTGCTCAAGCTCCCTTTAACACAAGCACACCTAATGTTCCCATCTTCTCAGCTCTCTGGTTTTCTCTCAGGGATGTCAGCTATTCTCTATGGAGGTGATCCCCAGTCCTGGACATCTAGCCCTAAGCTCCTAATCTTGGCAGTCTTGCCTTCCATGGTCTAACCCAAGCCAGCCTTCCATTTCTTTCCCCATTTCTCTCCAGAAAGCATTTGGTGTTTTGTCTAAATTGGACCTCTTGCTGTTCTTCAGACAGGCCTTTCCTATTCTAGTTTCCATGCCTTTAATCACACTGTTTCCATCTGCTAAAAAAACTCTCCCTATCTGTGCCTATAGAAAAATCACTCATTCTTTAAAGCCCATTCCAAATGTCATCTCTTGCAAGAAGATTTCCCCAATTCCTTCCATGGCCTTCTGTTTCCCGAAACTAGATGTATGCTCTTTTTCCTTCCTTACTCTCATGCCACTCTGTGCTTGTGTAAGTCCTTTATTTATTTCATCTTAATCTGAGTGACTATATTGTCCTCCACTCTAACCTGAGACTTCGTTGGGCAATGAGTGCTCCTGTTTACTTCTGTGTCCCTAACACTGAGTGGCTTACAAGTACACTCACAACCATACTCAACATGCCCTTAGTGGACTGAATTGAAATCCAGAGACTGAAGGAGAAATCATGATAGCAGCCCACCTCCCCTACCCCTCCGGCCCATCATCATTTCTTGAAAATTATCTTTAGGAAATAGGATTTTCAAGATAATTTTTTTTTTCTATGAAATGTCTTAGTTTGCAGACAACTAAGATATCCTTCTCTGGTCAGGGATAGAACGATTGCTGTAGCTCTTCTAGGCAGCTGCTGGTGGTGAGCACTTAGGGGAAGTAAAACCAGGGGAGGAGGAGAGCCGAAGAGATCCGTGTTCCCATCTTGATTTCCTAGTTATTTCCTGTGTGACTTCACCCTAGTTATTTATCTTTTCAGAGTCTCAGTGGAATAAAGTTAATCTTCTCCATAGGACTGATGAGAAAATAAGCAGGATTTTATATATGTTTATAAATTTATAGTTTTATATCTTCCTTAAATACTATAGCTCTAGTCCCAGTAATAAGCCACCGGACATGGGAATCCAGTTCACACTTCTTCCTCTTGAGGAAATTACATCGACAAACAGAGTTTTAGTACCATAAACTATCATCAAAATTTGAGACTTATAAATGCTCTGTTTAGCCACCATGATCTTTCTTTACATAAAACATTAAGAAAATATTCAAAGTACCAGACTGGGCAAAGCAGAGTACTCTGGTAGTAGTGGGTGGGGGCACACAGAAGCCCCTCTCAATGCCTCCCTACATGCTATGGTGGTGGGGGACAGAGTTTTCAGACACAGACTCAGAAATCTGATGCTCAGGAGAATACCAGTTGAAAACCAGTTTTAAATACCTGCAAATTCTACTTGGATCACTTTAAAGGCTTTTGAGATTAGACTTGACCAAGAATTCAACACTGGTCTTTCTGGAAGCATGGAAAGCTAAGACTCCAAGAACAGCTAAACAGGCAAGTGGGGCCACTGAATTCTGGGAGGTACACATGAGCATGCACAGATGCATCTGGAATTTAGGGTTTCCAAAACATAACAAGCACATTAGTCTCCTACTCCCAGGCCTTTATACACCTCCACAGTTGTGAATAAATGGGACATGTTACCACTATTTTGGCCTTTGTACACACTGAATGCAACAATGTAAAATGCATCTGAAAGAAATGGATGGGAACAATTAAACATGTAAATAGTAAAAGAAGGGTGGTGAGATTATAGATAATTTGTTGTGTAATTTTTAAAAAAAATTAATAAACCATTTTTTTAACAACATATATGTGTGTGTGTATGTATATGTGTGTGTACATTTTTTAGAGGAATACCAAAAGGTAAACCAGTAAAAAAGCCCATTTGTTTGATACATCAACTCACTCTGCCTCTAGTTAAACCCCTTACCAAACCAAACCAAGCCAAACAATAACAACAACATAGCACGCTGAGTTAAATCAGAAGCAAGGCATCTTTCATTGACTATAAACTAGATTAAATGTGTTTTCAGAACATACAAGCTTTGGGGACACTTTTGCTTTTCAAGTAGCTATTTAAAACCTGACAAAGACACCACAAAAAAAAAAAAATACACATACGGAGCTTACACTTTTGGTTTAGTGCACCTTCGGAGTCTTATAGCATTTCCTTAGCAAACTTCTGCTAGAAGGTTTAATCTGTATGCAAAGAAGTTCCAATTATTATTTTTAATGGAGATAAAATACTTGAAAAATTAAAGTTTAGGTCGGGCGCGGTGGCTCACGCCTGTAATCCCAGCACTTTCAGTGACCGAGTTGGGCGGATCATGAGGTCAGAAGATTGAGACCATCCTGGCTAATATGGTGAAACCCCATCTCTACTAAAAATACAAAAAATTGGTGGAGGGAGTCTGTAGTCCCAGCTACTCGGGAGGCTGAGGCAGGAGAATGGCGTGAACCCGGGAGGCAGAGCTTGCAGTGAGCCGAGATCCCGCCACTGCACTCCAGCCTGGGCGACAGAGCAAGACTCCATCTCAAAAAAAAAAAAAAAGAAAAATTAAAGTTTAAAGAACGTTAGAGTTTGCAACAGATGGTGATCACTGGGTAAAAATGACATTTAACTGTGCTTGCTATTGTGAAATTGGAATTTCAAAAAGGGGTGAACATGAGAGTTAGGGAAGAAACACGAGCTTAGTTTGAGCAGACATAAATGTTCCTCATTCATGTACTCATTCTCGTTTGTCAATATATTCAATCAAAAAATAAGAAAAAGTCTCTGTCTTTTATCAGTCATGATTCTTAAGCCATTTCACCTGAGAAAAAATTAAAGTTTTTGATAAGAGAAACATAACCTTTAGGATAAAAGAGATAGATGTCAAAATCCTGAAATGGTTTGTACAATCAAATAATACATAAAGAAAAAAGGAAATGACTAAAAATATTCTGTAAGCCTTATTTCTGGTATTGATCATGATTTTCTTTCACATTTAGCAATACTTGTTTTATATGAATCTTTGTAAATTACTGTTCTTAGTATTTTCTTTGGAACGTGATACAGTAATTCATAAGCATTTTAAGGAAAAATACATGATGGTTTTCTTCACATCTTTTTTCTTTTGTATGTACTTAATAATTGTGGGCTTACGACCTTCAAAAGAAAAGCAAAGACTAAAATGTCCTCTATTTATGCTAGAGCTACAAAAGTTGATTACTCCTAAAATCAAAGAAAACCATGGGTATATTAAACACATTTTCCATTGGGTTTCTTAAAAATTAGGGTAAAAAAGAAGGAAAATGACATTAGAAATGATTTCAGAAAAAAATGCATAATGACTGATATGATTTGGCTGTGTCCCCACTCAAATCTCATCTTGAATTGTAGCTCCCATAATTCCCACATGTTGTGGGAGGGACCCAATGGGAGGTAACTAAATCATGGGGATGGGTCTTTCCCATACCGTTCTCATGATAGTAAATAGGAGTTTCATGATGGTGGTTTTATAAAGGGGAGTTCTCCTACACAAGCTCTCTCTTGCCTGCCGCCACGTAAGACGTCCCCTGCTCTTCCACTATGATTGTGAGGCCTCCTGAGCCATGTGGAATCGTGAGTCAATTAAACCTCTTTTCTTTATAAATTATCCAGTCTCAGGCATGTCTTTATTAGCAGCATGAGAACAGACTAATACAGTGAACTTTGGATTTGATTCAACTATGATATAAAATCTTTATGCTATAACTTCCTTATCAACAAACTATAAGGAATGTAAAAAAGTTGCCATTATTATAATTTTTGGAACTTACTTTCAAAATCCAGGAAAAAGTGTGGATAGTTTTCAATTTCCCTGGTAAGGACTTTGAGCAGGTTTCCCATCCCAGCAAACCTAGGAAAGGCAACACAAAACCAAATACCATTAGCAACATTAAAAAAATAGACTTGCATGAATATCCCTGGGCCCCCCATAGCTACCTTTGAATACCAGAAGCATCTCCAACCCAGGGGCTGAGCAATAACGTAGCAACTCATTTCTGAATTGGTGACAGATAAATATCTCTGAGGTGCTGGGTCTCTAAAACTTAGGGACATGTGACCTAAGTCATACAAAGTATGACAATGATAGAAGTGTTACAAGCTCTCTCTTGAGAATACACATGCAGTCCATATCTCGTTCACCATATAAAAAAAACATAAATAAATAGTCTATGAAAAGAATCAGGTATTTTCGTTATAGGAGACAAAGTTTAGGAATATTCTCCAAAGTGCCTCCCTTACACTTTTCCTAATCCCCTGGATCCTTACAACAAATGTTTCGGCTTGGCTTTGCTTCCTTTAGATAGATGTGGAACATGTCACATCAGTGGACAAGACAACAAACAGGGCATTTTAAAAATAACTGTCCAAAAAAGTAAGTTCCTGAAAGCTCATGAGGAATAGAGTTTAGAAAACATAGATTTACACTGCCAGGAACTCCTCTTAACATGTATAAGAGGCCAGATTTCTCAGAGGACTGGCCCCTGGCAACCTAGAGGATCTTGTGATCTGATATTTCAATGGTAATGACATTGGATACTTCTGGAAGCTTAACAATGAAAAGGCGTAATGCCCAAAAAGTTACTCTCCATAAAATTGCAGCCTAAGATATTTGCAAAGGTGAGTCAAATCAACAGAAAAATACAAACCTATTACATATCAGCAGCCTAACAAAAAGAATAGCTAACATGCAGGGTTTTTTTTAATAAACAGAAATTTTCTACTGCTCTCAGTTCTAGACATTAAACTATCTTCTTAGGGAAGTCACCAATCCACACATTCATTCAACACATATTTACGGATGAGTAATTAGATGCTGGGCACTGTGCTCTTGGGAAGACATTCCTCTAACTCTCTGTAAGTGAACTCTTGTGCCTCAGATATCTCAGTTTGTGAAGGATCAATTTGAAAAATTACTTAACTGGTGCAAGGAAACTGCTGGGCTTCAATTTTCTATGGCCATAGTTTCTAACAATATTTATGTTGATACAAGGAATTTTAAAAAACACACCACTCTAAGCAAGATGTGGCGAGAGAAGAATGCACTAAAAGGATGACTCTGTGCATGAGAATATGTAGCAAGTGGTGGAATCTGGTCTCCGTAATCCTCCACTGGGAAAACACACATTTGCAGACATACTCCCCGATATAAATCACTAACATGAAACCAGAAGACAGACTGTTTAAGTAGTCTATCCTTTGTTAGACGGCCCAGAAGACAGACTGTTTAAGTAGTCTATCCTTTGTTAGACGGCCGGTGTCTAATCCCAGCTGTTTTCTACTACCTCTGTTATCCAGGCCAAGAGATTTCATCTCTGTAACCCTCAGTTTCCTCATCTGTAACATAAACTTTTGAAAAGGATCTATTTCATCGAGTTGTGAGAATTAATGAGATAAAAGTATAAAATGCTTAGCACAGCACTTACAGGAAGTGCTCAAGAAAAATTATGTATTTTTACTACTGATGATGATAGTTACCATCATCATCGTCATCTACATGATTATCCTAACAGCCATCAAATGCTTGTGTAGGATTAGGCTATGAAAGATGGATTACAATAGGCTGTATGTTGTGCTAGGAAAGAGAAGACAAACAGAGAAATGATGAGAAAAATATTCTAACCATTATAGTTGTCTGAATATTAAGTAACTTGCCTAGTGAGACAGTGAGTTTTCTCTCGCTGGTGATAGTTATGTAGAAAAATGCTGTATCAGCCCTTAACATCATTGGAAAAATGAGTTATGTGTGGGGCAGAAGGCCGAACTGGACCCATCCTAGACATCTCCCACCTTGAGGTGTAGGAATATATTCGGGCATGCGCGCACATGCACACACATACACACACGCTGGAAAGCAAACATCATATTTCTCCCTTCTCAAAAATTATTATTTGTCTTTTCTGTCATTCTTCCATTCCTTCCCTGCCTTTATGCACATTTCCTTTTAAGATATTTTTGAGCAAAACCTTGTGTGAGGTAGGTTCTGCCGAATTAAAGGTTGGGCTGGTAGAGTCCATCCCTGCCACTGGGCAGCACTCACTACCCCTCCTGGGTCTCTAGGAAATGATCTGTTTCCAGATTAATGAACAATTTCAGATTAGGCCTGGAGTCACTTCTTGTAAGAAGATGATTTTACTGTTTTTAGGAGTACTGATTTTCATACAAAGTGCTTTAATGGAAGTTAAATATTCTTAATTTTCCTAGTTTTGTGCTATGAATGTGTCAAAGGAGACTTGCATGGATTGGGCTTCCCCCTAAAATTCTGTCCTGTATGTGATTTTACTGTCAGAGTACCTGAGTAGAAGATATGCCAAGCCTTTGAAACTCATAACAGATAGAAACAAACACATCTAAAAGTATGTCCAAATATTAGCTGTGGAATTCTATCTCTTCAAAAGGTTATCTCAGTGGATTGACTGATATCATCAGATATTTTTGAGCATCATTCTAACATGAACCAAAGTTAATCACTTGAAAATCCTAGGATTCTAGATGTGTCACCTCTCAAGCAGGGACCTCTAGGACAATGACTGTGGACACTGTGTAGAAATAGAGTACAAGTCTAGTCTCATGGAACCTAGAAAACAAGTGTTTCATCTCATTATGGCCTAATGATGTGATGCTTACTGCCCCACTCCAAGGTTGATAAGAATTAATGCGAGTGTCTTCTGGTTTAGGGGGACCTGCAAAGTGAATTGGTCCATCATCACACAGATGGTCACCTAGTAGACACCACAGTTATTTTTAATTGGACCCAGAGTTTCACTTGGAAAGGCCTCTCATCCATATCCTGCATGACAGATTACTCTCCAAGTTTTTCAAGCAGCTCGTCAGTGAATACAAAATATACATTGCTATTACCACAGTACTCGGGAAATAGCTTAATTAATTCATATACAGTTTATTTTTTATTATTTTATCTCATTCAATAAAATAACTAGTTATTATGCACTATTAGAGAATGCGAATAAACAACGGAAGTAGGGGGAGTAGGAGAGTAAAAGTGAAATAGTAACATAAAGGTAGAGGCAAGAAGTAGATTAATAATAAGCCATCCCATCCAGAACATTTGTTGGAGATGGCTTATCATTTGCTCTTGGATAGACAAAGCAAAGCAATGTCTCCTTCAATATTTGGTGTTCAGAAAATACAAACAGGTTATACTAGAGAAGTGTAGCTTTTTCCTTTGATTGACTGATAAAAAAGAAAGAGAGTCATGGCTAACAGAGAGTCAAGACAATGAGAAATCTCCTCTCCTTGGGTTTCTAAAGGAGAAGCTGTTTCACAGAGGAAGTCATATTTGAGGATGAGATGAGTCTCAGGGCTCCCATGGGCAGAGCTGTGGTTACACATCCAAATGGGTGGCAGAGTAGCTTGGTTGGGGTGTACTCTGAAGGGCTGGGAACTCTGGTTTCTACATTCTATTTTGGTGATTCCAAAGATACCCTCCTAATGTGACCTGCTGTTGGGTCTATCCCAAGGGACATCAGTTTACCACCTTTCCCTATGGTGTGAGAGCTTATATCAGAGGGAATACGGCAATCCAGCAGGCACTCTGAGCTCCCTAGGATGACTTTAATCTGAGTATCTGAGTTTATTACTTAAATATAGTATGTTGTGTATACTGTAAAGTTTAGAATTACTTTAGACATACATATACAAATATGTACACACACACATACACACACACACACAATGACTCCCTTGGCATGTTCAGAAATCATTTCTAAGTTGAAGCCCTATTGTGACATAATGTAGCTACACTGGTGCACATGGAAGTTTTCAGATCTAAATTCATTCCTGTGGGGGAGGGTCTGGTAGGGGTGGAGCAAGGACAGAGAGTACAGGTTGAGTATTCCCCAGTTTCAAAAACCTGAAATCTGAAATGCTCCAAAATATAAAACTTTTTGAGCACTCACACGACACTCAAAGGAAATACTCACTGGACTCCAGATTTTTGTATCTGGAAGGTTCAACCAAGAGGTATGATACAAATATTCCAAAATAAAAGAAAAATCTGAAATTCAAAACGCTTCTGGCCCCAAGCATTTTAGATAAAGGATACTCAACCTATACAAGGTCTTGGCTGTCAGATTAAGAGACAGGAGAGGATATACCAGTTGGATAAGCACTCGTGAAGGGATGGGGTCCTGAAAATCAATATCCTTTATTTGGATGTTTCCTGCTTTGGAGAGTGGCATTGGAAGGTGGTCCTCCTTTCATCCATGTCCTCTCTGGGAGGTCTTTTACTTTTAGAGGTGCCAGTCTTCCCTGCTTAGATTTTCCAGGACTCTGCTCTTTCTCTACTGAAGTGAAGGTGTCTGGGCATCTGGGTCCCCAGGTCCCTGGCATTGGCTGGGTGTATTTTCCCATGCATTGCAAGCTGGGACTAACTTACAGAGATTAAGACACAGTCTTGAAAATCTGAAGCACAGAGTAGGCCAAAGTAACAATACGATGTGTTGACTCAGCTCATTCTCAAACATGACTTCTGTGAAACAGCCTCTTCTCTTAGAAACCAGAGGAGGTTTCTCTTTGTCTTGACTCTCTCTTAGCCACGACTCTTTTTCCTTGTTTTTCATTTAAAAAGCTGTACTTTTCTAGTTTAACCTGTTTGTATTTTCTGAACACCGAATCTTACCCCAAAAGGTGTGTACTGTAAGTAATACATGAATAGCATCATAGAAAAGAGTGCTTGAAAAAGCCTCAAGAATATAAGGCACCATCTAACTGCCTGTTACTCCAGAGCAAGTCATTGTAGCTGCGAGTCTTGAGTTCCTCATTTGCACAACAGTATGATAATAGTATCTCCTGCATGGAACTCTTATCAGGACTAAATGAACTGGGTGTGAA